TTAACCCAAAAGGTATCGGGCTCACCCCAATATAGACCCTAAAATACTATAACCCTTATTATGGGGACCCCCAATTTTGAGAAACCCCCAAGTGTAGAGGTCAGGGGCTGCTAGTGTTAGGTCTGGAGGAGCGAAGTGTGAGCTTTTTTAAGCTCAGGGCCACAGCCAGACCATGGACCTTCTTGTCTTAGGGTCTGAATCTAGGGTTTAGGGTTCAACGTTCCCCTGCATGCTACTTGTGCTAAACTTTTGTTTGCATAGACTTTCATGTTCCAGGGTCTGAAGGGTCGGCAGAAATTGGGACCTGGGCCCCAACCTCACCTGAAACCGCATACCTGAAGCCCCTTGTCACGCAACCTGCCTGCCACACCTCAGCTTCTGTAATTACTCTGCCACCAACTCCTGCTCTGATGACTAAAGCCCCTACGTGATGCCCGACACACGTGGCTGCCGGCCGTTCTAGTCATGTGCACCCAACGCATGAATTTTTAGCCCTATGTAATCGCAGTTTCCATGTCATGCTTCATGCTTTTTCCCATTTGGTTCTCCTTATAAGCCCACTCTGTAGCGCATGAAGTCGGGAAGCCAGCAGCCGGCCCAAATGTGAGAAATCTCCTCAGGCCAGAGGAGTTTCACGCCCGGAGCTTGGTCCTTTGCCTGGCACGAGCATGTGCTGGACTTAGGATTTAAGGCCGTTTAGGGGGTGTTGGAGGCCGTTTAGGGGGTGTTGGGTTGAGGGGTTTAGGGTGTCTGACTGGGGTATAGACTTGCTACAGGTATGGCGAAGGCTTTAGGGGTTGAGTGTGAGCCTAAGATCCAAAGCACGAGCACCTTACAGGGGCCGTTACATACGTACCTGTATCGTACCTGTATATACCGCAAAAGTCCGTCCAATTCCCCAAAACAGGCGAAGGGCCCATGCAAGAGGCCCGTGGTCGTGATCCTCAAGCCAATGCTGAGGGCTTTACAAGTTTTTAACGTTTCAGGACGCAGGATTTACGTACAAAGATTCGGAGCTTTGTTAGTCACATCCCAGCGTACCTGCGGGGTTGATCGGGATGTGGAAATGTGTAAGGAACAGGCCAGACAAAGGTTTCTTGAAAATGATGCTCCTTAACTAAGACACCCATACATAACCCGCCAGATTGAGAAACCTCCACCTTATCATGAAAAAAATCCCATGCGGACAAGTTTTCAACGGCGAGCAAGCATATGCCTTTCCCCACACAAACATGGAAACCGATATCTTTGTAGGGCCGTAGGGCAATTCGTGGATGCTTTCATATTTGCTTGGGGGAAATATACGCTGGAATGTTGCAAGACAAAAAGCCTGGGTGACTCCTGAAGTTGATGTCTGCTCCCTAAACCCAAGTTTCGACGAAAATCCTGAACACTAAGCCCCGAGCTCCAAACCCCAAACATCGCAGCCCCGAGCGCCCCCACGCAACAAAACAACAACAACAACAAC